TTCTGAGCCCCACGTCAGGCTTCCGAACCTGGGGGTCCGGCAACGGGAGGAGGGATTCCTAGAGAATCAGACTTTGAAGGCTAGCGGGATTTGACTGCAGGACTTCGACAGGACTGGGGGAAACAGAGACTCCACTCTCGGAGGGCACACACAAAGTAGTGTGCGCATCGGGACCCAGGGAAGGAGCAGTGACCCCGGGGGGGGGGCCCAGACCTACCTGCTAGTGTTGGAGGGTCTCCTGCAGAGGTGGGGGGTGGCTGTGGCTCACCATGGGGACAAGGACACTGGCAGCAGAAGTTCTGGGAAATAATCCTTGGCGTGAGAACCTCCCAGAGTCCGCCATTGGTCCCACCAGAGAGCCAGGTGGGCTCCAGTGTTGGGTCGCCTCAGGCCAGACAACCAACAGGGAGGGAACCCAGCACCACCCATCAGCAGACAAGTGGATTAAAGTTTTACTGAGCTCTGCCCACCAGAGCAACAGCCAGCTCTACCCACCACCAGTCCCTCCCATCAGGAAACTTGCACAAGCCTGATGGCCTCATCCACCAGAGGGCAGACAGCAGAAGCAAGAACTACATTCCTGAAGCCTGTGGAACAAAAACCACATTCACAGAAAGATAGACAAGATGAAAAGGCAGAGGGCTATGTACCAGATGAAGGAACAAGATAAAACCCCAGAAAAGAAACTAAATGAAGTGGAGATAGGCAACCTTCCAGAAAAAGAATTCACAATAATGATAATGAAGATGCACCAGGAGCTTGGAAAAAGAATGGAGGCAAAGATCGAGAAGATGCAAGAAATGTTTAACAAAGACCTAGAAGAATTAAAGAACAAACACCTAGAAAAACTGAAGAACAAACAGAGAGGAACAATACAATAACTGAAATGAAAAATACACTAGAGGGCTTTCCTGGTGGCGCAGTGGTTGAGAGTCCGCCTGCCGATGCAGGGGACATGGCTTCGTGCCCCGGTCCGGGAAGATCCCACATGCTGCGGAGCGGCTGGGCCCGTGAGCCATGGCCACTGAGCCTGCGCGTCCGGAGCCTGTGCTCCGCAACGGGAGAGGCCACAACAGTGGGAGGCCCGCGTACCACACACACACAAAAAAAATACACTAGAAGGAATCAATACCAGAATAACTGAGGCAGAAGAACAGATAAGGAACCTGGAAGACAAAATGGTGGAATTCACTGCTGCAGAACAGGGTAAAGAAAAAAGAATGAAAAGAAATGAAGACAGCCTAAGAGACCTCTGGGACAACATTAAACACAACAACATTCACGTTATAGGGGTCCGAGAAGGAGAAGAGAGAGAGAAAGGACCAGAGAAAATATCTGAAGAGATTATAGTTGAAAACTTCCCTAACACGGGAAAGGAAATAGCCACCCAAGTCCAGGAAGCGCAGAGAGTCCCAGGCAGGAGAAACCCAAGGAGAAACAGGCCGAGACACATAGTAATCGAATTGGCAAAAATTAAAGACGAAAAATTATTGAAAGCAGCAAGGGAAAAACGACAAATAACATACAAGGGAACTCCCATAAGGTTAACGCTGATTTCTCAGCAGAAACTCTACAAGCCAGAAGGGAGTGGCATGATATACTTAAAGTGATGAAAGGGAAGAAACTACAACCAGAATTACTCTCCCAGCAAGGATCTCATTCAGATTCGATGGAGAAATCAGAAGCTTTACAGACAAGCAAAAGCTAAGAGAATTCAGCATCACCAAACCAGCTGTACAACAAATGCTAAAGGAACTTCTCTAAATGGGAAACACAAGAGAAGAAAAGGACCTACAAAAACAAACCCAAAACAATTAAGAAAATGGTAATAGGAACATACATATAGATAATTACCTTAAACGTGAATTGATTAAATGCTCCAACCAAATGACACAGGCTCGCTGAATGGATACAAAAACAAGACCCATATATATGCTGTCTACAAGAGACCCACTTCAGACCTAGGGACACATACAGATGGACAGTGAGGGGATGGAAAAAGATATTCCATGCAAATGGAAATCAAAAGAAAGCTGGAGTAGCAATACTCGTATCAGATAAAATAAACTTTAAATAAGGACTGTTAAAAGAGATAAGGTGGGACACTACATAATGATCAAAGGATCAATCCAAGAAGAAGATATAACAATTATAAATATATATGCACCCAACACAGGAGCACCTCAATACATAAGGCAACTGCTAACAGCTATGGAAGAGGAAATTGACAGTAATGCAATATTAGTGGGGGACTTTAACACCTCACTTACACCAATGGACAGATCATCCAAACAGAAGATTAATAAGGAAACACAAGCTTTAAATGATGCAATACACGAGATAGATTTAATTGATATTTAATTAAATATTCCATTCGAAAACAGCAGATTACACTTTCTTCTCAAGTGCGCATGGAACGTTCCTCTAGGATAGTGCGTTCCTCCAGGATAGATCACATCATGGGTCGCAGATCAAGCCTTGGTAAATTTCAGAAAATTGAAATCATATCAAGCATCTTTTCTGACCACAACGCTATGAGATTAGAAACTAATTACAGGGAAAACACCGTAAAAAACACAAACACATGGAGGATAAACAATACGTTACTAAATAACCAAGTTATTATAAGTAACAAGTTACAGTAATCCAGACAGTATGGTACTGGCACGAAAACAGAAATATAGATCAATGGAACAGGATAGAAAGCCCAGAGATAAACCCATGCACTTATGGTCACCTTATCTTTGATAAAGGAGGCAAGAGTATACAATGGAGAAAAGACAGCCTCTTCAATAAGTGGTGCTGGGAAAACTGGACAGCTCCATGTAAAAGAATAAAATTAGAATACTTCCTAGTACCATACACAAAAATAAACTCAAAATGGATTATGAGTTGAATCAAAACTATCTAAACAAACAAAGAGCTAGCACAAAGTTGTAGTTTATAAATAATAGGAACAATATTTTAGTAAATTTGCACTAAATTTATGGTCCCCCAAATAAAATTCATCTTTTAAGTGTCTCATTTAGCCTCAGTCTCATGAGATTTCCCCAGCTATTTTAAAAGTCAGTATGACTTAGCACACGTTGGATACTTTAAAGAACAAAGATGCCCCAACCCAACAAAAGGAACTTGAGTTGCTGGTTTCTTGATGGTCTAGGGATCTACCTGGTATCATCTTAGGGGCCAACCTCAGATGGGACGAGCTGTCCTGAGGTCCCCATCAGCAGGAAGCATGACAGGGAGCAACGGGTTATGTCTGCTATGGAGCAGACAGGTGCACATGCCAGTAAAAGAATAGCAGGCTTTATTTTACATGCATTTGTGTGGAGGAGCTAAAAACAAAAGCACACCAAAAGGCCCAAACCCCCTGCAGAAACATCCTTGAAAAAAATCACTAGGACTTAACATTTTCTCCGATGGAGATTCATTAAATAGAGATACATTATTTCATACAGTTATCTCCTTCCTTAATGTCATGTGTGGCGCCACTCACAGTGACACTGGCACGTGGAATGCCTTTATTTGGTGCCTGGAGATCCATTCACCTGGCACCTGATACACTGTGGAAAACAAGATTGCCTCTCTCTCCTGTCTCAGACAAAGATCCAGAAGAAGTCAGTCTCAGGTTTTCGGCAATGAGAGAGACCTTCCTGGGTTGTAAAGAGCGTTTGCCATTGATTGCTTAGAGTTTTATCAAGCTGGGCATGACTTGTGCTTTGCTTTAGAGCTTTTCTTTCTATTCACTGCTTTAACAAGACTCATTACTGCAAGATCCCTGAACAGTGGCAGTGCTGGACTTTATCACCCCAAGTGCTCACTGCTCCTGGAGCAGAACGAGTCCATTGGGATAGCTTTTGGGGGGAAAACGAGTCACCCTGGCAATGCATTTATGATGAGATAAACTATAATTTCGTCCGTGTTTTTCAAGTGATGATATCTTTGGAATACAAATATAAGGAGACTGAATTTAATGATATAACTAATACCTTGGGTGATTTTGAAGACACTCGGTTATTTTTTGTTTGTGTTTTTAACTCTTGACAATGGAGAGACTTCTAGAGCTTAATTACTACCACTTGAGAGAGTTTTTACAAGTCACTTTTAGTGCAAAAAAATCCTTTGGTGCCTATGTAGCTGTTCGAGAAAAATGAATTGCGTCCTAAAACAAACTGGGGATGTACCTACCTGAGCAGGCTTCGGTTTTAAAGATGGCTTATTTCACAGATGTGAACGCTACGCAAACCTCCCTCAGTATGCTTTTTCGTATTAACCTGAGCAAAACCATTCTCGTCAGTTCATTGCTGAAATGTTAATGTCTTCCCTGTTTTAGTAATTGATGTGCATTTAGCTCTTCTCAAGTGTCTGAAGGATGGCCTCCTGTTTGCCTTTCAGAGCCCCCTGTCCCCATCGCGCCCCCTCAGCTGGCCTCCGTGGGGGCCACCTACCTGTGGATCCAACTCAACGCCAACTCTATCAATGGCGATGGGCCCATCGTGGCCCGGGAGGTGGAATACTGCACCGCCAGCGGGAGCTGGAGTGACCGGCAGCCAGTGGACTCCACGAGCTACAAGATCGGGCATCTCGACCCGGACACAGAGTATGAGATCAGCGTGCTTCTCACCCGGCCAGGGGAGGGTGGCACCGGTTCTCCTGGGCCCGCTCTCAGAACCAGAACCAAGTGTGCTGGTGAGTCCGGGGATGCTGGGACCGCTTGTCAGTGTCTTCTGGGTTTTGACCTGCAACCTCCGTGCAGGTGGCTCACACCTCCCTCAGCTCTGCTGGGACCCTGTCTGGGTACAAAAGGTCCCTTCACCTGTGGACAGCAACCCAATAGCCTGTGGACTTCAAACCTCAAGGCTTGGTATCTCTCAGGAGGCCTCCGCCCCCTTTTCCTCCGTTCTTAATTTACACCTTCCTAGGAGTATCACCTAATTCATATGGGAATCATCCCAAAGTTGACAGAAACTGTTTGCTTTAATGATGTCTGCTCATAGGTCAACGCCTCTCATCTGGGTCCCTTTGTTTTTATGTTCCCTGTTGATGTGCTTGTAGCCTCGAGGGCCTTTGGAAGGCTAGATTCCATCTTAGCGATAGCTTTAAAGCTGTATTTTTATGGACGGATATTGAATGGAGGGGCTGCTTGCCAATGACATGGGGCCCATTTGTAAAATAAGCCAGGGTGATTTGTGGACCGCACGCCGGCTTTAAATTCTTAGATGATAAAGTTCTAATTGACTGTGCAGAGCCCGCTCTGTGGGTTGATGGAGAGAGAAATGCAGAGTCTTATAAAAATCAGACCCTAAAGAAAGAGCCCGTTAGAGGTTTGAGTGCTGTTTCTGTCTGGCTGCTCTTGGGTCAGAAGTAGAGAGAAGTGACAGGTTGGGGTACTGAAGTGTTCTTTCATCATTTAAATGCAGGTTCTTGCACTGAATTGAGGGCTGAGGTGAGGAGACTCAAGAAATTTTTATGGAGATAATTGATTCTTCGGGTGGCATTATTTAAGAGGACACTTATCAGTAGGTTTCGTTTCCTCTTAAGATTTAAAAGTACTCAGAGCGCAGTCTAACCCTGTCTGGTAGGAGAAATGATTAAACCTTCACAATGGTAACTGCTTCACTCTTTCTTCATAATTTGGACTGTATAGTTTCGAAAAGCCCAAAGCTCATGGAAAAAAATTATTTTTGTAAAACTATTTTTGTTAGAAGAGGGAACAGGACCCTTTCTCTTCTTGGGGTATGTGCTGTTGGGCCTGCCTTGTCCGCCCAGGTCTGTTTCCCATGTCCCACGCCCCCATGGTCACATCACGCTCAGTGCAGAGCCTCTGGTCTAAGAACTGTGGTGATTCCCACAGCCGCCATGGGCGGTCCAAGGAGAAAGGAGTTTGACAACACTTTCTCTTCCTCACTTCTCTGTACCATGTCATCTCCTCTCTCTCTTTCACTGAATAAAATTTCCCTGCCTTTTTTGAAATAATTTATCATCTGTCGTAATGCAAACAATAGCTGTGTAACCGTGTATCTATCACTTTACAATATAAGAATTGCCTTCAAATCTGTTATTTATTTTATAACTGCCTCTTGAAGTCTCTGGGGCCAATACTGTGACCCCCTTACTAGGGGCAGGGAAATAGAAGCCCCTGCGGTCCTCCCCGCATCTGTGAGCAATAAGTTTGCGTTCTTTCACTTCAGCGTTATTTTGAGGAATCCTGTTTGGGGGCATGGTGCTAGATCGTCTTCCTTCCTCTCCAGAAGAAGGTTAGAATCCCATTGTCTAGGCTGGAGAAAGGACCCAATCTGTCATTCTAGTCACTGACAACCCCACCTACCTGTTGTTTTCAGTTCTGTTCTTTTGTCTTTTCTCCTGGCTTTGTGCCTGTACATTTCAGCTATCAACATGATTATTGTCTACATTTCCCCTAAATATAAGGCGTGCATATCTGTTTTCAAGAAGGCTTTTTGTTCTGGCTGCATGGTGTGTAAATGCAGAAACTTTCATAGTAGAATGGCAGTCCTTTTTTAAAACATTAAAACCAATCCTGAATGGATATCTGCATGCCAGCCCTGTGCCTTAGAGGTTTAATCTCACTTAAGCAAGGAAGCCTGATGAGAAAGCAGGTTTTTTCCTCTTACCATTTGTAACCTGCCGTGGACACTGTTGCATACCTGTCCTGCACGGGGATTGAGCATTTTTGAAAAAGCTGTGGTCGAACAAGTCAATCTTAGGAAATAGAAATATGTTAGGTGAGCGGGTCAAAGCTAGAAATGAGAGGGGGAGATGCTGGGTGGGTGAGGAAAGGGAAGTTGAATGAGCCTTTTACTGTCAGAAGAAATACAGTTTCACCCTTTGTTGAACTGAGACTTGAGAAAATCTGCAGGAGAGCTTGTTGACTGCTCAGGTGAGCCGTGTGAAATCGTGGTATGCAGGACGGAATGAAAAGGGGGAAGGTGGATGCTACACACTCTAGACTGAAAAATGTGCTAACAGTCCCGGCCTCTTCCTCAGATGGTTCGCGAGTGTTTAGGGTTCAGCAAGAGCGAGTCACGGATCTCAAAACCTGAGAGAGACACGGAGCATTCTGCAAAGCAGATGGAAGACGGAAAACGGCCTTGGCCAGGCATGAACAGTGGATGAATCTAATAGGGTGACAGGTAGTAGGAATAATTGGGCATCCATCCCGTGTGGTTTAAAAGGCCAAGAGTATGTGTCTGGAATTAGAGTGATAAAATTTAGCAGCAGCACATATAAAAAAAGAGATTGAGGATTAGGTTTAAATACATATGCATCTACAGTACGGTCCATATTCTGTTAGTCACTCTGTAATGCTGTTGCCTCACCACCCCCTCCAAAAAACAAAAACAAAAAACGAACAAACAAAAAACCCTAATGTAAGTGTAGGTTGCATTAAGAAAGCAAAGCCTATGTTGTAGGTGGTGATAGTCTTTTTCTACCAGTGCTGGGAAGCCTCCCTAATATTGTCACACTTACTTCTGGTCCCCACATTTTAAGAGAGAAAGCACAGAATAGACTGTGCTCAAGGGAAAGCACCCAGGATAGGAAATGTTCTGGAACTTTGCTCAACCACTGAGGAATGATGGAAGAATTGAGAAAGAGAGTGGGGATGAGCAGGGTGTCTGTGCAGATTTGACAAGAGCTAAGTCATGCATAATGAGTTTCCAGTGACTGGTGGGTTCAGGCAGAACCTGGCATTGCAGAAGGAGATTCTATACTCGTGAGAGGATTGAGCTGGCTGAACCTGAAGGCCTCTTCAACATGAAGAGTCTTATGTTCTCTTTCTAATGAAATGATCCAGTGTATATTTCTATCCTGAACGTCTCGGAGTTCACTTTTATTTTATCCTTTTCCAAATTCTCCCTAATCATGCGTATCGAGTGCTCTGCTGGGCAGTGGAGGTCTGTGATGACGTTTGCAAAAATCTGAGCAAACGGGGGGGAAAACCACTGAGTTTTTCATACAGCTAAACAGGTTAAATTTGAAAGACTGACTCTTATTCTGAGCTTCCAGCCTGGTTTTATGCTAAAATATCACTTTCATGAGATGCCAGTGCCTGAGGATACTACAGCTGGAGTCAGCAGTTGAGAATTTGGGCTCTGGTACCAGGCTGCCTGCGTTTGAGTCCTGGCTCTGCACGGAGCTAGACATGTGACCTTGGGAAGACTTCGTACCTTTTCTGAGTTTCTCTTGTCTTATCTATGAAACAGGGGTGATAATAATAGTGTTGTATCTCCTAGTGTGGCTGTGAAGCCTGAAGGAGCTAATGTGCATGTAAGATGCCTAGGACAGAACCTTACACGTCACAAGTAGTCAATACAAGTTAACTGCCCGTGGCGAAAAAAAAATTATCTTTTAACATTTTCATTCAAAAGAATTCGATGTTGGCAACCTGATTTTGTTGCCTGAGATTACTTATCTGGTAAATCGAAAATCGGAGGGATACAGTTTTATATTTGGATTCAGAGAATCCCCTGCAGTTGGGCATTGCATCCATGCCAGACGCCATTCTCTGATTCTTTTTCTATCAAATCTGTTTCTTTTGGACAAGCTCTGTTTTCATTGCGGTGCTGCACCCATGGGGCCTGTCCTGTCACGCTGTGGTGACACCCACGAAACCATATTTCGTTTCATGCATTGAAATGGAAAGATCACTGTTTATGACCCATCTCTGTGCCCTGGAATTGATTTTCATGTGTAGATGCGTAGATCGCTTGTAGATGCGATCTCATCACCTGGTCATATTTCTTTCAAGAATCGTACGGGAGCACACTGCAGACCTCTTGCTTCTTATGCTTCTGAAAATTATTTTCAGATATATGCACAGGCTCTTGCACATGTGACCCTGATCAAATCACTTGGCTTCTCTGATTCTCCAGATAGGAGCCCTCGACACCTGCCCTGATAATATCAAAGGTGTTTTTGAAGATCGGGTTAGACATTCATTATCTGTAAAGGTATTTTACACATGAGAAAAGGCCCTGCCGACATGGGATATTAAAAATGGTTACAGTCAGGAGCTACTTTGAAGATTTATACACATATCTACTTATTTTTCAACTTTGCATTTCAGCTATAGTTGGGAAACCTCAGAGAGCTGAAATTATTTCAGTATCCAGTGAAGCAAAATGCAATTTAGTTTGTGTTTTCTATTATATCTTATATCCTTATAACTATGTGCAGCCTGTATATCACAAGTCATTAACTGGTAGCTACTTGAAAAAGGGAGATGGGTGATGCTGTTAGCCTGATTTTCACAGTGGACTTTTTAAGTGCTTATTTGGGGATTTCGCTTTTTATGTATCCTGGGCATTGTTTAACTGTGGCTAAGTGGCTTGCTAATAACTGGCACCAGGAGTTAAAACAGGATGATGGTAAACTAATGACTTAACAATTAGGATTGGTGAGAGTGAGAAGAAGCTGAACTGAAATGTGTTCTTTAGAATTAATATAACTAAAAACATTTGAAAAAAGAATGATTGCACTGTTTAAAAATTCTATGCATAAGAAATTTATTAAGCACCCATATTTGTAAGGCACTGTTCCAGGCCCTAAGGGCAGAGCAACAAGACGAGATCTGGCCTTCAGAGCGGATGTATTTGCGGGTATTGGAGGGAGGAATTGTACAGGCAATAAATAAATAAATATATGTACGTGCTTGTATATATAAATATATG